TCGAACTACAAGTGGCCTGAATTCTCATATAGCCTGAGATATGTAGGAAATCCATTTTCGGGGTTCGGCAATAATTCCTAAAGTCCATGCCAAAAGCCATTTTTCTAAAGGATGAAAATGTGCTCGGCCAAAATTGGATTCGTCAATTTCATTTGACTCGAATTTCATTCATCGATCCAAGTCAAACGAGGGATAGTTGTTGACACCCAATTTTGGACCTCCACAATAGGATTAATCACCGAGCTTCTTAAATTCCAAATGATTTGATATAATTAGTTTTTATAATGTTCAAGTTATTTTTAATCAATTTTATAATTTTTATAATTTTAAATAATATATATGTTTTATATAATTTTGTATATAATTAATATATTTTATAAACATTCAAAAATCATCTCAAAAAGATTTTAATTTTATTAAGTATTTTATTAAATTAGTTTAGTTTAAATTATGGTTATAATTTTGAATCATTAGTTTACAATTAAGTTAATTATTTTATTTCGTTAAGATTAAGAAGCTCACTAATTAATCATATTAATTCATCTTATGTAATTATTCGTCAAGCTTTGATCAATTTGGCTGAGCACTTAACTTCAATTGGCTATTAATGGCAATTTTGGCCAATTTCCTCGGCCCCTTTAAGCCTATTTTTTTTCCAGCCTTTCTTTTGGGCCCAACTTCATAACATCCAGCCAAGCCCATTCCCATTTCCTATCAGCAACCCAGCCCAACATGAATATAATACCCAGCCCAAAAATACATACAACGACCAAATGACTTAAACAGTACCCCATCGCCCCGACTTCGTCTCATCCATTGCGAAACCCAATAAGAAAATCGCATCCAGCTCCAGACGCGAACCAGAACGCGAGTCCAGCAGCCCAAAGCAAGCAGTGCGCGTCGTCTCTTGTCTATCCTTATCCTCCATAAGAAGAATCGATCTAGGTGTCGAAATCGTGTTGCTCGATCGTCCTTTTCTCAAAATCGGACGGTTGCCTTTCTTTTTCCGTTGAGAATTGTACAATTTGGTACAAATTCGAGCTAGCTAGCAGCCTTATCCAAAAGAATTCAAATTTTGAATTTGAAATCATCAAAATCCCTCTCGGATTTCCCCCCATTTTCACCCATATTCCTCCTCTATATAAGTTGTTTTCTCTTTCAGTAGGAGGGGTGAGAAAAAATGGAGTCGATATTCAGAAATTAGATATATCATAGAAAGAAAAAATACAAAGGTTTTGAGATTAAAAAAATCCCAAAATAGATGAGTGAGCTAGGGGAATACTCAAGTTTCGGTTTCAATTTCGAACTCGACGCTCTCTCTATTGCCTCGTAATCTCATTTTGGTAGAGGAATCATCTTCGTGGTTAGCTCGTTTCGCCCAGTTCGCTGCATGGAAGAAGGTAAAAACCTCTCTTATTAGCTCTGCTCGTTTAACCTCTAGTTGTTTTGCATTTCTTCTGCTTCTGCATTTAACTTAGAATTCTCAGTCTGGATTGAAACCATGTTTGTTGTCTGGTTTACTGAAGTATGGACATGCATATTTAGTGCTTCGTTCCTTTCCTTTGGATTGTTGGTTGTTTTTCTTATGATTCTTTGAAAGTTGAAGCTTTTCTATTCTTAGTTCATCTTCTCGTGTTTATCTTATTATGCTTGCAAAGGTTGGCTAGTTTGTTTTGATGTGTCATAGTCCGATCATGTATAGTCCAGTGTCTTCTTCCGTTCATAGTTTGTTAGCATCTGCTTCCTCTTTAGTTTGAGTTTTAACTGTTTTCAGCATGCCTTAGTATGGACTTTCATTGCGTTCAACATTGTCTTGATAGGCTATCTCATTATTATGCATATTCAAGCTTCGATTCAGTTGTTGTGTACTTATCCTCATACATGTTTTTCTCTATGTTTTAAGCTCAATTAGTGATTACTTAGTCAAGTTTTGTTTTCAGCTCTCACTATCTAAATCTGATCACACCTTTGTGTTTATTTGAGGCTCTATTTCCTCACGATTTTCTTTCGTTTGGAATTCTGAAGATATGAACATGTTAAATCCTTTATTTTCTTATCATTGCTATTTCTTCTCTTCTTTTATTTTGATATCATGCTGATTGTTGTTTTATGTGGTCGTGTTTTGAGCATCTGATTTAGTTTTGTTAAATAAAACATGTTCTATTTCGACTTTGATGTGCTTTGGGGTTGGTTTTAGATCATTGCTTTAGCTTAGCATTTACGAATTAGGTGATGTGCCTGCCTAGTTGCATCAAGTTAAGTTGTCTAGTATTTTCTGCCTATAATGGAATTGTTATCAACTACTAATTATTTAAACTCGTTTGGATTTCTTAATAGCATCCAGACCTAGACATAATGTTGAAATATTTTGAAACATGTCGAATTCTTATCTCCTGCTAGCGTTGATTTCGGTGTGCACTTGTTAAGAGTTTCCTAACCTTCTCTTTTATTATGTTGACTTCATTTGATTGCTTAGTCTGGTAAGTTTGCTGCATTTTTCCTTTTTTTTTTTTTTACTCTGTGTTGTTGACTGCTTGATGAGCATTAAATTGTCTTGTTTCTTAGCATCAAATTAGTTACTCTTGGATTTAGCTTTACATTTATCTATGGTTGTTTGTGGGCCACTGTCTTTGGGGTATGAACATGTATATATGTGGACATTGTTTCTCCATACTAATGCACTTGGTTCTGATCATAATTAATCATTTTATTTTCATTATGACGCTTCGACAGTAGCAATTAATCCTTTTCATTATCTTCCTGCATTAAATCATTGAGTTGTTACTCACATATTTTATTTAATTTTTGTTTGCATGTGAAATCTCTTCGAGTTCACTATGAGCTCCTATCACATTTCCCTTGCATTTCGAGAGAGCCATAAAGGCTTGAATCATTTCCTTCCGAGTTGGCCAGCCATTGGAATCAAGGAAACGGACCCCGAAAAATTGACAAACACGAATTGGAGCTGATATACGGGATTGTATACACTAATGTACGCCTAGTGTATACAAAGTGAGGAAATGGGCCAAAGAAGGGCCCCCGCCCAAATTCCAGAAATCATATTTTGTTGTTATTTGGCCTAATCCCACTTATCTACTATTATCTTGTTAGAGTTTAGGACAGGTGGAAGAGTTGGGCCTAAGGCCCAACAAAAATCAGATTTCTAGGACAATTACCAAGTGTTGGGCCAAAGGCCCAAAAATAGGATTAGGCCCAAGTACCGGCCCAGGCGGACAGAAACCGGACTTGGGCCCACATCTTCTCTCTTTTGTTATTTAATTGACTTTGCATGCTAGTGTGTTTATTTAATTTTAAGGTTTTTACCTTAAATCAATTCCCCAAAAGATTACCATTTTTGACTACTCATATTTTCCTAAAAATCGAAGAAGTACTTGTTTTCTTCCTTGAATTATTTTGAGATGTTTCATTTAAGCAATGCCCTTATATTATTTCACTTTCCCTAAAAAAAATGATTTTAATTCTTAAGGTTTGTATATTTCATAAACTTGTAGAGCATGCTTATTTTTTTAAAAATTTAGCCAAATAGTTAATTATCAGATAACCGCGTGCTAACGGACATTTCGGGTGCTTTCAAATTCTTCCTGAAATGTAAATATGAACCTCGAACCCTTTAGATATTTTCATTAGATTTTCTGTTTTTTAATCTTTTGAAAAAGTAATTTTCTTAATTTTCCTTTAAAAATTAAGTGGCGACTCTTAAAAACTCATCGTTTTCTCTTTTTTAAATAAAACATCATTTTTTATACGAGAAGGAATATACATGGACATCAACAATATCTAGTTAATTAAGAGCATCTAAGGCCAAAAGTACACTTGTGATAGGTAGTCTCCCTAAAGAGCAAATGCATAATTTATTCTCCATATAACAATACCCATATTATTGAATCTTCACAAAAAAAAAATCCCTATTACTTATTCTACATATAATAGTCCTCATATTATGTATTCACTATATATAACAATCTCTACATTATGATTCATGTAAATATATACTAACTAAATAATCAACCATATGATTACTAACACCTTGTTTGGATAGTTGTTCTGTTGTATTGTATTGTTAGTTTAGATACAATATTTGTTTTGATTATTACTTAAACTCTATTGTATCGTATCATTTAAATTCATCGTTAGATAACGGCGAAAAGACTCATTTTATGTAGCGGCCAATTTGGTGTGTGTTGTGAACCAAGTTGGCTCTGTAAGGGCCTATGGGCTAAAAATGGTTAATGAGACTGATACAATTATAACTAGTGGGCCGAGTAAAATATTAGAGAGTTTTATTTGGGATCCCTACCCAATTACCATTTGTTAAAAAGGACTAGGAGTTAGAAAGAACAATTGTTCAAATTATGTTGAAGCTTTGGTGTCAGTTATCTCTCATCCTCTTTCTCTGTTCTTGTATCTCATCCCCTTTTAGTTACCTTCTTCTATGTTAATCTCTCCTTAGTTAATGTATTATTACTTTGTAGTGCATATTCTACTAGTAACTTGTATTCAACAATAGTTATATATACGAGTTTGTTTCAGTGTGATCATGTTGTTACCTTAATATTTTCTTCTCATTTTGTGTCTTTATTTATTACTATTTAATAATTATATTTCATCTTTTATCCTATCTTTTCATAGTAGTTCTGCCTCGTACGCTACTTTCTTGTAGGTTTATCATTGCAAATTATGAATGTGTGACATTATGTAACCACGGAGAACAATACAATCTATCCAAACAATGTATTCATTAAAACAATACGTAAAAAACCATCCAAACAAAGTGTAAGAGATTAAGGGGAGGATGTATTTTTTTCTATAATTGTAAGGTTAAGAAAGAAACAAATTATTGACCAAAGAAAGTGGTTCAAACTTAAGCATTTGCTCCAAATATACCGGAAGATAACACGCAATTTTTGTGACATAACATTTCATCTCTTTCTCAATTTACAAAACAAAATAATTTTTTTTTTGAAAATGAATACAGAGTGATGAAGAAAATACAAAGATAAGTAAATCAGACGAAAAAAATAATGGATACTTGTAAAAAAGAAAAATTGAAGGAGAAAAGAGAAAAGAGACGCCAAGACATCTCTCTTTTAAGTACTATTCCTTATTCCGAACATCGAAAGTGAGTTTCCATTTCATTTACATTTTTCCTTTCCTTCTTTACATATGGATCGAATCTACAATTTTAAATCAATAAGTGATCGAGTCAGAATTTTCATTACGAGATCAAAGATATGAAGAAATAAATATATGATCCAAAATCAAGAAATTAAACATCTACAATAACACATAAAAATATTTTTGGTCAATAAATCTATGCTTAGCTTAATCTTAATGGCTCAAATATATATATATATATATATATGTGTGTGTGTGTCAGTGTGTGTTCGCGCGCGCATTGCATGGTTTATTGATTTTTATAGCCTATACTAATTCAGAGGAATGGAAGATTAATTAGAGATTTTTCGTGTGAAATAATTTTTCAGCAACTTTATTATGTTTTAATTTGAGGGGGGATCTAGGTAACATTTTGACAAATTTAGTATATCTACATTGAAATTAAAATAGTTAAATATATATAAGAAATATATGTTGAGAACCCAATAACGAAGCAATCTCTTAGTCCAGTCCTGGATATTTTCAGCAACATAATTTCTCTTGTTAGTCAAATTTCAATGACATAGTATAGGATGTTGATTTTTCGAGCTAAAACTAAATAGACGATGAATGATTTTCAGATGGTGGTCATCTGATACTGTTGCTGTTGTGACGGGCGCGAATAGAGGGATTGGATTTGAGATTGCTCATCAACTAGCATCACATGGATTAACAGTAGTTCTTACTTCACGAGAAACTGGAGTTGGTGAAGAAGCAGTGAAAGTAATGCAAGAAGGAGGTTTAAATGTTGCATTTCATCAATTAGATATCGTTGATCATGCATCGATTGAAGCATTTTCTGATTGGATCAAAGAAACATATGGTGGCTTAGATATACTGGTATTTTATTCTAATCCATATTCTCTCGGTGTTATGTTACTACTCTTTCTGTCCCATTTTATATGAGTTAGTTTGACTTGACACAGAGCTTAAGAAAACAAAAAAAAAAACTTTTGAAATTTGTGATGTTTGTGTGACTATAAGAGTAAAATGAGCATTTTAAAGTCAGATTGTTACTAAATATAGAAATGTGTCATCCGGGGGAGTGAGGGGAGTATTCAAAAGGGGGAGCCGCGGGTTCTTTCTTTCCTTGTAGGAAAGGTCTTGGTTTGGTATGGCATCAAAGAAAACCTGTTATTGATGCATACATTCTTTTCTTGCCGGAGATAGAGGAAATTAGAAAGATATGGACTTTCCATTGCAAGCTGATTCCTTCTTTTTGGGACCGACTAAAAAGAAAAGTGGGTTATATAAACTGGGACAGAGAGTATTATTTAACTGGTGATTTTCATTGTGACTTTTACTATTTTTGGCAAGTATGGACATTTTCAGTTGATGATATGGTGTACTATATATGTATCTGTAGATCAATAATGCAGGAGTGAGTTTCAATGTTGGTACAGAGAATTCCATGGAAAATGCTGAAACTGTTATCCAAACGAACTACGTTGGCACCAAAAATATGACAAAAGCGATGATTCCTTTGATGAGGACGTCTCATTATGGTGCTCGTATTGTTAGTGTAACCTCTCGATTGGGAAGACTACATGGAAAAAAGAATGTAAGTACGAGCTTTCATTTTCCTAGCATTATCATTTCAAGTCATCGCGAGTTGAGATAATATGAAAATGAAGCATTTTCTTCTTTTGACATCTCAAAAGTTTACATTTTACTTGATGTAACCAGAGAATTACGAATGTCAGCTTGAGACAGCAGTTGGAGGATGTTGATTCCCTAACAGAGGAAGTCATTGATAATGTTATGAAGATATTTTTGGAACAAGTAAAAGACGGTACATGGGAGTCAGGGGGATGGCCTCAAGTATTCACTGATTACTCAGTGTCAAAGGTTGCAGTGAATGCATATACTAGGCTAATGGCAAGGATACTCGAAGATCGTCCAGAGGGTCATAAGATTTACATCAATTGTTATTGTCCGGGTTGGGTGAAGACCGCGATGACTGGTTGGGCAGGGCATATATCTCCTGAAGATGCTGCTGATACTGCAGTCTGGCTTGCTCTTCTCCCTGACCAGTTTGTAAGTGGTAAGTTTTTTACTGAAAGGCGCGAGATAAGCTTTTAAGGTAGACACTGAAAGGTCATTCCAGATAGATACTGCTTGACAGTCATTACATTGCTATCTGTCTTTACCAGTTGGTGTGAAAAAGAGAAGCGTAGATGCCCTGGTGAGTAGGTGTGAGAGGTTGGAAGTGGTAGGTGTTTGGAGAGATAGAGTTAGGCCGAAGAAGTATTGTGGGAAGGTAATTATACAGGACATGGTGCATCTCGAGCTTACCAAGGACATGATCTTAGATATGAGGGTTTGGAGGTCACAGATTAGAGTAGAAGGTTAGTTGATAGTTGAACGTTCTATCGTTTTTCTGTGGGGTAGGATAAGTGGTGGTATCAGTACCAACTCTGTTAGAAGTAGTATTAGCATTATTCTTGTAGTTTCTTATTCATCAAATATTGTTATCATCTGTGTTTCAGTCATCGTACTAGTTCATTGTTGTTACTCTTCTTTCTATATAACTTATGTACTGCTTTTCATTGAGCTACATTTCGTTGTTGATAATAACTTTCATTCACTCTTTTTCAAACTGCTTTGAGATGCTTTACTTAGGCCAAAGGTATATTGAAATAATGTCTCTATCTTTACGAGGTAGGGATAAGTTCAGTGTACACTCTATCCTTCTCATACCTCACTTGTGAGATTACACTGTATATATTATTATTATTTTTATTGTATGTATTGGTCTTCAGTGTGATCGCAAATTGGCCATCGCGATCACAATAAACACTGCACCAACAGAAAAGGTTACCTTATCGAAATGATTAGGTATAACATAGCTTGGTATTATGACACTAAATGGGGAGTAATACAACGTGTAATGAGTTTATAACACAATGTTAGTGGCACACATGACTATAGTGTACACTAGGGAACCAACATAGCTGTTTGTACAACAAACCATACAGCTCCAAAAATGAATGTGTAGTCTTTCCAGAACTACAGCAAGCCCTCCACCTTAAGATTTCGTAACATGTTGCATCCTGTCGATGTTGTTATCAACAAAAGATTCTTTACACTTCACATTAATTCCACACCTTGACACGGCATTAAGGTTGAAAGCCAAGATTTAGTGATTGCAATCATCTTTCTACCAAGGTTTTAAGTCACCAACTGGACCAGCAGTCCAGTTTAAGATCTTCTCCCCAGGCGTCAAGTAAACGCTCCTGTCATGTGGCAGTTTACGAGCAAGTCCATTCAAAATTTGATGGAAAGCATCACCTGATTGAGCAGGTTGTGGAAACAACATAGCTTGTTTCATTGAAGGGTTGGCGAGCAATCTCTGCTTCCTCAATATTTCCTCTGGTGGAATAGAAGTGAGAATAGTATCCAAATTTGGAACATCCTTCTCGGCTACAAAAACACCAATCTCTTCCCAGGGGATTGCATCAGCAAATGGCAAGACAATATCATCTGCAATGATAACAGGGATGCATCCAAATATAACTGCTTCAACTAATCTTGGGCTCCATGGTGCCCACCCAAGTGGGCACAAGCAAAAGATGGCTCGCTGCATGTCCTCGTAGTAGGTAGTTGGATGCTCCGTAGAAATATCAAAGAGAGGATTGTCCTTAAAGTTCTCCCACACTGCTGCCCGGGCACCTCTGAAAAAATAAATAAGCATCAGGTACCTTGTCATAAAGCATACTACTCGATTTTTAGGGAGGTCAACGAAGAAAATTAAAATGTTTCCCTGAACTTGAGTTGGATTTTCAGCTACACTCTAGACTTTTGCGGGGTTCCTATTACCCATTTGAAATATTTTGAAATGGAATAATAAAATCACCCTAAACTCTGGCGTGGCAAATAATCAATTGAGTATTAACATGCGCTTCTACATATCTTTTACATTAAAAACTTGTTTTCTCTTTCCTTTCTATATTAGACAATATATATAAATACCCCCATCAACTTGTCATCTTTTATCTTCTACACACTTCAACTTTCCGGGGTAGGACTTGCCTTGGAATGGAATTACTACCACCCCAAGAGACTAAACCAGATTTCAACAGGCAGTATCATTGACAGACTGCTTTTTTTTCAACCTCATTTTTCAAAAAAGATTCCACTGCTTTTTGGTATGATGATAGCATGAGTTGAGCTTAAGTGGGGAAACATGACCAGTGAGCATTCATATAATTGACCCCAACTTGTTAGGGATTGAGGTCTAATTATTGTTGTTGCTTTTGTCACCAGCTTTTTCTCCCCACAAAGCTCTCTAACAGCTCCAGACAGGCCCGCCCATGACTTTGGATTTTCAGAATACATATTGCAACAATGACGGAATCTATTTTATGGATTTGAAATATGAATGTCGCCCCTTATTTAATAAAAGGATATGAAATCCTCTGACAATAATAATTTACTGCAAAGCAAAGGATAGAAATTCACAACCAAAAATCTCATATTACAATACTTGTACAAGGATGCAACATAAAATGTGAATCTCCAAACATTCCATCCAATTGTCAAATAATTTATTTTCAAGCCATGAAGAGTAGGGGGGGGGTGGAGAAAGGGGGTTGTGTGTAGTTGAAGTGGAACACTGGTGGGGCAATGTGGAAGAAAGGGTGGGTGGTGGAAAGTTTTCTGGTGGATTTATGCTGGGCATAATTTTCAGTAAAGAAAAGTAACAGGTAGGAGAAGGAGGAGCCAAGATAAGAAAAAGAACAAAAGAAAAGTAGAATTAAAACAAAGAAAGTTGAAACCTTTCACATGAAAGAAATGTTGTTAAACAATTTACCTTTTCTCATTTCATGCGCTTTTTTAGACGCTCACACACTATCTATGCCACATGGGCTCAAAAAGTGGTATTAATATCACTTCGAACTAGTTTAGGGGTAATAGCACGGTCATGTCTAGAATTTCAAGAGGATGGGTGATGAGTCCACGATTTGGACTCATTTAGGGCTTTATTTTAATAAATTTAGTGTCCTCAAATGCATATTTTGCGCCAATAACTGATGTAAATCCTTGAATTTCAGGTATTTGGATTGAGGAACAAAGCATGGACACTATTGAGCAAAAAGGAACAAGGCAGCTGAAAGATCGAAGAAAAGAAGGCCTGAGGATCGCCTAAACCATTGGCGAGTCGCCGAATGGCCAATGTCTCGCCTAATGTTCCAGTGTGCCAAGCCCTGAAGGAGAAAATCAAGTCGGCGATAGAAAGGAGCAATCGGCGAGTCGCCGAACGGTTCCGCGATGCAGTGTCATATCGCCCAAAGTTACAGAACTTGAAGTTGCTGAAGGCCAAAGCGAAAAGGCGATGAAATTGACCAAAGGGCGGATCGCCGAGTGGATCGGCGATCCCGACTAATTGCGCCGAATGGTCCTTCGCAGCACATTTTTGACAACTATAAATACGTTTTTAAATTCTTAGTTTAGTATCGAACATTCAATAGTTTTTAGTATTGTTCAGTTTTCAATTTTTAGAGCTTAGAACTGAAGAGAGAGACAATATTTCCTTAGCTTTGAAGATTGAAGATTTCCATTTCTGAGAAATTGGAAGTGGGTGTTGAAGATTTTTCATCTTAGACCTTTGTAAAGACTATACAAATCCTACCCAGTTGATGGAAACACAACTTGGTAACGATTTTTACCTTTTTACTATGTCTAGCTTAAACCCCAATTCTTGGGGTGTGATTATGTGAATATGGGTTGATTTAACTGCTGGGTATTGTTAATTGATAGTTTATTTGTTGTTTAAAAGTGATTTCGTTCAGTAATTGTGGTTGAATTTAATGGGTTGTAGTTGAAAATACAATCTTAACTTCGTGTTTTTGGCATGCTCGAGAGAGAGGTTTTAAAACCAAAATTACTGAATCGATGGTCTGTGGGTATTGGGTTGTCATGGGTTCAGCTCGAGAGAGTTAATCCTAAACCCTTTTCCACACATTCAGCTCGAGAGAGCGAATGGACTAAGGCGAAGGTTGTGCTTCATTGTTGCTTATTGGTGTTCGAGAGAAACCAATTTGATTCGGGATAAATTGTTCGAGAGAAAGTTTATCTCCACTAAAATCTAGCTTATTCACCGATTTGCAGCTATTTACTATTAATTACAATTACCCAGTTGTTTACCTCAGCCCATAATCCAATCACATCCCAAGAATCCCGTCTCCATATTCGTATTTTTGTGTTATTTGCTGTTTTAGTTGATAATTGAGTACAAAACCCCCTTTGATATTTGACACTTGTGTGTCACCCCAAATTTGAACCATGCTTTTATTCGTAAATGTTTTTAGCTATGATTGACATGAACATATTTGTACTTAGCTCTTGATTCTCAAACCACTCCCTGTGGGAACGATCCCAACTCACTTAGTTGGGTTATATTACTACTCACAATCGTTGGCACTTAGTATTGGATGAAGTGTCCTGATACGTGAAATCAATGGGTGCAGTGTACTACCATTTGATTTAATGCTATACAAAATTTCCATGACAACGACTTGACAAGTGAACTATAACTAATACAATTATCCCAGAAAAGTATATATTATTCTACTTCAAATTATTCTTAACAATTTTGTATACTTTAACTATCAGCACCATTATTTGAAGACAATCACTTTACAAATAAAACAAATTGAAGAAAAAGAAAATGGGAAATGTCTAACATACCCCTCTACTTTCATTTATTGTTCAAATCTATCCCCGCTATACTTTTTAGCTATTTTTATCCCTGCCGTTAGGCAAGGTTCTTAATTTTCCCCTACTTTGACGGAGATGACACGTGGCGGCATCTGAGTGAAAGAACTAACCCAACACTAAATTACCCATCAAACTCCCCAATTCCAAATTAATACACCCCACACCCACACAAATTAAGAACCCCAAACAACGGAAGTTCCTTCCTCCAAAATATGGAAATGACCAAATATGGTGGTCCTCAAAATTAGCACCAAATACTTCCAACATGCCACAGTTAATCTCCTTTGATTTAAGCACACACAACACCACGATCCAATTTTCAAGCAACAATGCTTAAAAAAATTCAAGATAGACAATTCAAGCTCAAAGAACTCCAAGTTCACACTAATATTCGCAATCTCCATTCTCAACAGCAACCATCGGATTAATGCTTAATTTTCCAACAACAAAGTACTATCACGTTCTTCAATTTTGTATTTTCAAACATAGAAGCACTAACAGAATTT